CTCTGAGGACAGGTGTCAATCCATATCTGCCAAGTGACCCAATGTAGGAGGAGCAGTCCCTATTCTGATCTGTGTCAGTGTGTATCAGGGATCCCTAGGACAGGTGTCAATCCATATCTGCCAAGTGACCCTATGTAAAAAAGGCCTGATGAGATGAGCTGCCTTGGGCTGAAAATGGTCCACACGCTGCTGTATTTTAGCTCTGAATGCCTGTTGACTTGCGTGACTTATCCACCACCAACTTGGGTTCAAGCCGCCAGTGTGTACTTTATAAATGGCTTTATAAAGCAGTCTGTACTTTATAAATGGCTCCACCTGCCACCCGTACAGCAACACAGTCTCCAGTTAGGAGGACCGACCAAGCCTCTTCTTCCATCTCCCTGTTACAAAAATCAATGCCGTGTACACGTCCACTGATAGGAGACGCGGAAGGTATTAAACTGATAAAATAGTACTAAACACACCACTCCTATCTGGTGTCACGTAGCTTGACAGCGCGGTGCCCCAAATTTGCAGTAGAGGCCGACCAAGCCTCTTCTTCCATCTCCCTGTTACAAAATCAATGCATTATTACCGTCCACTGATAGGAGACGCGGAAGGTATTAAACTGATCAGAACAATACTAAACACACCACTCCTTTCTTTTGGTGAGGCTTTACAGGACAGAGTGCTTCTCCACGGGACATGTTAACTCACGGGCAGCTGGCTCATCAAGGAACCACAGCAGCTTTCCATGTACAGGTAAGACACGTGCAGCCGGTAGGGGTTCAGGCTCTTCTTCCTGGAGGATACGCTGCAAGCCTGTTGAACGAGGTGACCTTGCTCGGGTCCCAGGTGTACGGTTCCTAAATGGCTGCCATATACACGTCCACTGATAGGAGACGCGGAAGGTATTAAACTGATCAGAACAATACTAAACACACCACAAATAAGGTTTCTCTCCTGTATGGCTCCTCAAATGATGCTTAAGATTAGAAGCGGCTGAAAAGCATTTCTCACACTCAGAACAAAATATATTTTTTTAACATTCTCTCCACTTTGAACGAAATGACGTTTGGGAAGAGATTAACATAATTAAACACAGGCAGTAAAAATACAGTTTTTAGCCATACCCTGTAACTTTAAAACTACACATCCCATCTTCATAATTACATATTTGGAATCAGCACACTTAAAACATAAAACATAACCAAAAATCAGCCAAATCCATCCAGGGGTTAAAAAGTTAGCTGGAGGTCCCTTTATGACCGACCGCAAGCACATTTTCCTGCCCAAAACAGTTCCATAGATTTGGGTTGTGAGGTCGGTCTATTTCAGGCTGAAAAAACGACTAAGTCCCATCGCCGAATGGGACTTAGTCTCTGCAGCTGAAATAATTTCCCATTTACTGAACCAAGTGGGAAATAGCAAGGCAGGCACAAAAGGTTTGCACCAGGTCTGGGGACACAGGGGGCACCGTCTTAAAGGGGCCGTGTCCCCAACAAGTCTGGGGACACGGCCTTAAAGGGGCAGTGTCCCAATCTTCCTGATGTCCCAAAAAAGGTGTTTAAAAGGGCCAGCACCAGTCACATAAAGAGTCCATAAGCCCCAATATGCCCACCGACAGTCTTAAAGGGCCATACACACCAAATAAAAGTGCATACATTTTCACAATCTCCCAGGGGCCATGGTCATGCGGGAGGAGGCTGGCAAATAGGCTTCTCCACAACCCAGGAAGCAGGAGCATTTGCCATTTAAAAGAGCCGTTACAAACTGGCAGTTTGCTTAACAAGGTGTCAATCCATATCACCTTGCAAGTGACCCGATGTAGAGGGGGACCAGTCCCTATTCTGCTCTGTGTCAGTGTGTACCAAGGAACCTTAGGACATGTGTCAATCCATATCTGCCAAGTAGCCGATGTAGGGAGCAGTCTATTCTGCTCTGTGTCAGTGTGTGTATCCAGGGAACCTTAGGACGAGTGTCAATCCATATCTGCCGTGACCCGATGTAGGGGGAACAGTCCCTATTCTGCTCTGTGTCAGTGTGTATCAGGGATCCTTAGGACAGGTGTCAATCCATATCTGCCAAGTGACCCTATGTAGGGGGACCAGTCTCTATTCTGCTCTGTGTCCGTGTGCATCAGGGGCTCTGAGGACAGGTGTCAATCCATATGTCAAGGTGTCAATATGTCATATGTCAGGTGTCAATCCATATTCATTGTGATTTAGGAATGTTAGGTGATTTCTGCCCTTTATGGATTAAAACCAGACTCTGTATCAACTGTGTAATTTTCCATGGGAGTTTTGCCATGGATCCCCCTCCGGCATGCCACAGTCCAGGTGTTAGTCCCCTTGAAACAACTTTTCCATCCCTATTGTGGCCAGAAAGAGTCCCTGTGTGTTTTAAAATTCGCCTCCCCATTGAAGTCAATGGCGTTTCGGGCGGTTCGCCGGTTCGCGAACATTTGCGGAAGTTCGCGTTCGCCGTTCACGAACCGAAAATTTTGGGTTCGCGACATCACTAGTATAAAGCAATAAGCAAAATAACCAAGCGCTGACTGGAACGTGTGCTGGGTTTAAATAGGTGGCTGGGATCACATGACCGGCCACCTCCCAACAGTAGGTGGAGCACACAGGGGTTATATAAAGAGGTCAGGGACTCGGCTCCATCTTGTTTTATACCATGGTCCCTGACCTGTTCATCCCCTATGGATCTGCAGCTCTCCTCCCTGTGCTGAACACCGGAGTCGCATGGCGGCTGCCATCTTGCCGTGACGGCGTGCTCGCCACAAACCTTGGCGGTGATAGGAATAGAAGAAGCCGCCGCAGACCTGGAAGGGGAGCCTTTAGAAGTGATGAGAACTGCGATTCTGCCGTGACAGAGCCCCCTCCCTAGATGCGACCTCAGGGAGCGAAACAGGGTTGGCCGACCAGGGTGTCTTCTGTGAAAGGCTCTAATCTTGTCAGGTGCATTGACACTCCTGGCTGGCTCCCAA